TGACAGAAAAAATCTTTGCTCTCACTTCACTCTTTTTGGTTTTTTTTTCCCCCCTCTTTCTGTGTGAGCTGGGCTCACTCAGGTATGGGGTCTAAGGTGGATTTACCCCTGCAGCTTTAAACTTTGTGGGTGGTAGTGGGATAGCAGGACTGACATCTTTCTGTATGCAAGTGAAAATTGGACAGACAGATGCTTGGGAGTGAGGCTGTGCTGTGTAGTAACCTTCACAGCAGGGGGAAAGACATGCTTTAAAGACTCAGTCAAGATTTTTTTTTTTAAAATCAGCCTAATGCCTCTTGGAGTCTGAACTGACTGCTGCTGCTGGTTGAAACCTCTCTTGTTTTTCTGTGGGGCAGTCTTGCAACAGCTTTCCAAAAGTTGGGGAAGAGCTGTAGCTGCTGCGGGTCAGGGTTTCACGTCCTTGCAGTGTGCTGCTCTTGCGTGTGCCAGGCTGGTGCCTTAGCATGGGCAGCCCAGCGAGCCCCTGGGGACAGAGAGCTGCAGCCTATGGGCAGAAGTGATAGGAACTCCAACAGCGGTGCTGTCTCTCTGCTGTGCAAATCAATATATTCCTACACACTGTGTGGTCAACTGCATGCTGGTGTTGAGATGTGCCCTCACAGCTCGGGGTGGGGGGGGGAAAGCCCCCACAACTTCTTTTTAGGATACTGTTGGCTTATGGATATTCTGCCCTGCCTAATCTCCTCTCTTGTACCAGTTGAACTGTTTGGGCTTGTGCAGTAAACTAGATCTGTAAGTGAGACCAACTTTAACCTTTTCTTTACACAGTGAGTTTTAACTTGGATCAGTTCCCTCTTGTGTTTCAGCGTATGGTCCATGGGGTAGGGGTATGTTTGGGGGATGAGGGAAGAGGGGGATGGGAACTGCTGTGGAAAAAGCAACATGATACTGTGCCTGGTTGGGGCTGTACATCTCTGCGTGGGTAAAGGCAATGGGAGCTTGCATCTCCTGTGAATTCTTGCAGTGGAACAAAGTTTAGGGGGTGCTGCTTGTAGCAGAGGTTCTTCTGTTGGGGTTGGAGGAAGCATCCGTGATTCTTCCCAGACTTGGGACAAACGGGAGAGCCAGCAGTGGGAAAGTGATTACAAAGTGTTTGCTCCCACAACAGCTGTGATAGGGAGCTAATGGCTATGGCAGAGACTTTACAAATACCTGGTGGGTAGCCTACATGAAAGTGCAGGATTAACTGAAATGTCAGATGATCTCGTCTGCCAATATACAGCTTCTCTAAACACAGGTTGCACTGGTTTAACTGCAGTTGCTTAAACAAGCAAACCCATTGATCCTAAATTGATCTGCTTCCCTAAAAAAGAGTAACCCTTGCCCTCCTTACGGGGCTATTTTTATATGAAATATAGAATGGATTAAATTGAATTCGCTTTTTAGCTTTGTCAACTGAAGTGTAGAGTGTTTGAATTCACCCTGGTATCCTTTGTCCAGAAGCAGGGGACAGGAGAAGGAATTCCCCCGTGTTGGTGGGCCTTGCAGCTGTACTTGGAAAGATGTCGGAAAGGGATGCAATAACCACTCTGCTATAAGCCCCCTCCTCTCCTCTTGTGGCTGTTGCTCTGAAATAACCATTTTAATGTGCTTCCAAATTCTGAGCAAACTCTTAAGCTCTTCTGTGCTACATCATGTAGCAAGAATGCTTGTGCTGCATGTATTTATGATGGGGTCAAAACTGGACTCGGAAGAATGCCTGTCGTGTCTGCCTTGCGTGTGGGGAACGGTAAACGTGGGGGCTGTGGGCTTGAGAAGGGGTGATGGGGAGGATGTGGTGCTGGATGGTGAAGGAGCTGGGTGGCAGGCTAAGTCACCTCTGATATTAGGGAGGGAGTCTCGGCCTCTGTGGATGTTTGAGGAATGCACCCCCCCACCCCCCCCATGTGTGTTGGCCTTTAGGTGCTTCTGTCCTTTGCAGAATCATAGAATCATAGAATCATTGAGGTTGGAAAAGACCTCTAAGATCATCGAGTCCAAACGTTGACCCAACACCACCATGCCCACTAAACCATGTCCCTAAGTGCCTCATCTACTCGTCTTTTAAATACCTCCAGGGATGGGGACTCCACCACTTCCCTGGGCAGCCTCTTCCAATGTTTAACCACTCTTTCAGTAAAGAAATTTTTCCTCACATCCAATCTAAACCTCCCCTAAGAAGGGGAAGCATGAGAGAAGCATGAGTTTTAACTTAACCTTACTGTGTGCCTTGCACTGGCCTTTCCCTCTGTTGAGGAATGAGGGCTGAGGGTGGACAGGTGTGGGCTTGGGTGGAGAGGCAGGGCGGGAGAGATGTTGCGGGAGTACCAGAGGTGCTGCTTCATGCCCGTTTACAAGTGCAGTGTAACTTTGCTGGTTGTTGCTACCAAGAGGCTAGCAGGAGGCAGAGTGGAAGAAGCTGGGCTGTGGGAACTGGGCAGAAGGGTTCCTGGGGACTGCATGAAGCCCAGCATCTGCAGGAGGTTCTTGTTCTGCATGTGAGGTCCAGGGGGTGGTTTACCCTGGCTCATAGGGAGGGGATGTGGGGCTGGAAGGAGGTAGCTCCTAACCCAAGGCAAAGGGAGCTCCTGGGTGCCTGGGGGGGGGGGAAGCTGTGATGGAGGATGAGGAGCACATTTCACCAACCCTGCTTGGGTGCCATGAGGTCCCACAGTACCTCCCTGCAGTGGTTGTCACCTCCCAGCGCTCACTGCAGTTCACAGCCAGGGAGGCTGTGGTGCTGCCTCTGCAATGCCCTAAAGCGTAACTTGGGGTTTTAACCGTGGGAGGTGAAACTTCACTCACCTTACTCTAGGTGAGCTGAGCTGGTGGCGCTCTCCTCCTGAAAGGGACAGCCGGGCTGGGGTGTGCACGTGAAGTGTCAGGGAGGAGGTTCAGCCTGCTAAACTAGGAGAAAACTTTTCCCTTTTCCTGAGTTAGGTGGGTTTCGCCAGCGAGTGAGACTGTGGTAAAGCTAGGCTGACAATTTGCCTAGTGTTAAGCCTCGCTGGCAGAATTTGGGCATCAGGCTCCTGAACTGTAGTGGGTTACTGGGGGTGTGTTGGGATTTGGGTGGAAAGTGTTTAACTTCCTGGAGACCTGACTGATGATTTCTGTCTTTGAGTATTTTTATGGGATGAGAATGTGCTTTTCAGTGTAATGCAAAGTGAGGAGAGACTTTTTTTCTTTCTGTGTTCTGAACACTATGCTAGACTTTAGTAGGACAGACCATCCTGGATAGGGAGTGAGGAGCAAAATTTGATAAAGGGGAGGTTTAAGATTGCCTCTTTCTTTGCATTCCTGACCTAGACTTGAAATGAGGGAGAAAGTAAAATTTAATCCCCAATGTTTCAAGACTTTTTTTTTTGGTGAAGTTGTAATTTTAAATTCAGTATGGTAACTTTAAATTCAGACACCCTTCGTGTTCTGTGTATAGACCTGGCTTCTACCCCCCATCTCTTGCCGCCAGAGGCTGTTGTCTCTTCTCACTCCTGTTTTTCTGCCTAGTGTAGAAAGTAATGAACATGCACAGTGCACAAAATATCTTGTATGTGCAGTTGCTGACCTTATTTAAAAAACAAACAAACTGTGTGAAAGATAATAATGGTGTTTGCCATGAAAAAAATTTTCAATGTAAATATGTTGCTGGCGACGGGTTATTTTTAATACATGCTATTTGTGCTTTAAATTTAATGTTAAAATATTTTTTGTCATCTAAACCCTAACTATTCTTAGCTGAGCAGATTTCAGGTTAAGAACAGTAGTCAAACCATGAGCATTCATAGCATTGTAATTACTAAACTTTCTGATGTGTTCAGATGAGCAGGAGCTGGATGCTGGCAGGCCTCTTTGTGCTGCAGTGGAGACATGTGAGCAGATTATGTTCTGATTTCATACCCTGTGCTGTGAGACAGCGTCCTGGCACTGCATCTTTCGTGTTACTAGATCTTTTCTGACCTGTTTGTTTAATGCATCATGAAGTGGTGCTTATATGTCTAATTGCACAGCGCAGAGAAAATAGCATTGTGTTGAAATATTGCATAAAACTTCAGCGTTATGTGATGTTTTGTAGTGGAAGTAGTACTGTAGGCACTCGTTCATAACAAGACCTGCAAGTTTCTCTCGGCCAGGGTGGGTAGTTGAGCTGGCTGTGTGCGTGCTGACTCAACAGAGTGAGTTTCTTTCTCTTCTCGTCCTCCTCCTCTTTTGACTGCTTCTGACCGAACAACAGCAGATTCACAAGAACTCGCTGTACTTCTGTACCTTAGCTTGAGGTTGCTCTTTCAAACTATGTGCAGCTGTGGTCTTAGTCTTCACCTGAGACTTTCAGAGCTCTCATGCCAGCCAGGTGTTAAGTTGGTTAAAAACGGACTTGCTTTCTGAGCGTGGGTGCGTGTACGCAGTGTGGGTGTGAATGCACAAGAATTTCTCTGGAGTGGTTGAGCAGAGGACCTGACTGACCTGAGGGATCTGGTGTCACCTTGGTGGGCATTCCTGTCTGTATCGGGGACGGAGGCATAGAAGGGCTGCTGGGGCTGGGGAGGAAGCGCTCAGAAGTGAAATCCGGGAGGTTCATGCATGTATCTACCCTGAAGTGTTAATCTAGCTGCACAGTACGGTCTCATGATGTCAAGGGCTTGGAGCCTGCTGCCTGAGCCTAGCTCCTCCCTTTTTCATTTAATGATGGCTGGAAGAAAAATAATCAAGTATGCTGGAAGAGAAACATTAATTAACTTTTAATTTAGATGCAACGTATGCTTCTTAGTGTACTGCATGAAAGAGTGAGTGTGCGGTATCTGTCATGTTATATAGGGGGTGATGCATTGAAGAAACAAGGAAAAGCCTCATGTCAAATGGGAAGATAGGGTTTTAACTCTGCAGATGGGTTTTGAATCTTGATTAAAAGCTGCAGATGTGTGGTAAGTCACTTTTGTATCCATTTTGCATCTGAAATGACTTTCTCTGTAACTTGGTTTGTATCTGTTTTCTCTTAAGCCAAACTCGCAAGGCGAAGTCAGGAGAGAGAGAATCTCGGCATGCTGGTCTGGTCACCTAACCAGAATCTGTCTGAAGCAAAATGTAAGTTTCTTCAAATACTTTTATTCCCCCCTTCCCTTACATGTATCGCTTCAAGAATGCAAAGTTGCCACTTTCAGTAGAGAGGTTATGTCTGTGACCTTTCCATTATGATTTGAAATTAATTTGAAAAAAGAAAAGCCTACAAAGCAATCCCCCGGAAGAGCTTTGTTCTCCACTGGGCAGCTGCTCAGAGCATCAAATCCACGGAGGCAGGAAAAGCAGGAGAAATGTGACACACTTTCTTCCTTGGTATGAATTCTTTAAGATACTTATCCACAGGCCTACATGATCTGCTTTTTTGCTGCTGGTGCTGTAGAAGATGACAGAAATAACTGGGGAGAGCAAAATGAAAAGTATTTGGGGCGGGGGGGAGTATAGAGTAATTAGTAGTACCTTTTTCCTCAGAAAGACACAAATAAATTCCACATCTGGAGCCCATGGAAGTTTAAATGCCAGAACAATTGCAGTGCCTTGGAATTCCACGTGAGGGCAATTACCAGTGCTCTGTGTGTGTCTGGGAACAAGCCTCAGTGCTGCTGCCAGATGGCAGAACTAGTGTTTGAAAGGTTTGTCTAGCTACAGTTCTCCTCATGAATAAGTAGGACTCCTTGATTAAAGGGCTGCTGTTTGAATGCAGTAACTAAACCTAAGTGCTTTTGCGGGAGGGAGCTGAAAGGACCTATTTTTGACTTTGTGCTCGTACCTTTTTTCCCCCCTCCTTTCTAATTCTGAGACCAAGAATAAGAATCTTGCATTCCTGTTCCTCTGCAGTTGTTTGTGGTGGCACTATTAAGTTGATACCTGGTTTTCCCCTAGACGCAAGGGCTAAGATGCATCACAAGACACTTGTGAGGATGTAGTGGTGGCATTTGCAAATTAAGGCAGCAGAGATTGTGCACAAACTGGCTCTGTCATGAAAGGGCTGGGTTCAGCCCTGGGGCATTTGTTCCACTGAGCAAATTGCCCCTTAAATTATAGAAGGATGATGGTACTGTGATCTACAGATAAAAAGGGCTTTGCAAGGATCATGTCTGCCTTCTCTCCTGCCAGTGGTGTCTTGTCTGCTCCCTGCTGGCTATTAGATGCTGAACTAAATAAGGCTGATGAGGAGAGGGATATATCTGACGGTTATCTACAGCTAGAAACCTCTAAAAAGGTGTAAGAGCAAGAAACTGTTGCCTCCACCAAAAGGAACAACTGTTCGTGGGTCATCTGTGACACAGAGGATTCCTGTAGCTGCCTCTCAAGTCTGAGAGTCTTTTGAATCTCAGCTCAGCTTTGGAACATTTAACTCCTGCCTGATAGGAAACAGGTTTCTTGTAGGGAAGAGAGAATGGAGGAGGAAAAGGAGTGAAAATATGTGGAACTGCGTAAAATAATCTGTGACTGAATATTCTGTGGCAATTGGCACAAAAATATGCAAGGATATTATAGAGCATAAAAAGGATATGATATCTGCTAAGATGTCGTCATGAACCTAAGAGGTAATTAAAAATGTAGTATGACATTGATAAATAAAAAATAGGTGGCAGTTCACTGTTGCTGGTACAATAAAAAAGTTGGGGAAAAAAATGAATGTAAGAAGAGGGCAAGAAGAAATTTCTCAAAAGACTCAATTTTAGTAAGAGTGTAGGCTCATCAATGATTTTACCTTCCAAAAAAGATACAGAAAAAAATTAATAAATATTTCATACAGTGTTTGGGGGAGAGAAGTATGATGCTCTTGTGCCATACATGACACACAAAATATCTCCCAGGCGCCTAATTGATATAGAGGGATGGAGTTGTGAAATTCAGCATCTAGTTAGTAGTAAAAAAACCAAAGGAGCATTGGGAGAGGTGGCTGAGGGGACCTTGGGGTGGCAGGAAAACTAGTAGATGGAGAGAGGGCAGCTGTGCAGGGAATGAGAGAACAGGGTAAGAGTGGGCTGGTTGGTCATTGCTTTGTCTTGTGTCAATTTGAGCTGACACTACTGAAAGGTATCAGTTATTACCGTCTCTACCTGGCATTACTTAAAAGTGAGCTGTGAAAAATCCTGCTGAAGGTAGCTGTTTTTGTTCTTTTTGAGACTAGAAATGGATTGATCAGTAGAAATAACTTTATAGCTCTAATGTATTCAGCCAGCTGTTAGGCATTGATTTGCTACTGCACGAGAGTCTGATTCAATCCCCCTTCCTTTCAAAAGATGGGCACCTCCTCCAAAACACCAGTGCTCTCCAATGGCTGTAGAGCACTTACTAAATGTATTACAAGCAGAGTCCTCTAACCTGTTTTATGGTTTATGAAGAAAGAACATCAGGGGACAGAAGGTTTCTTCGGCTACTCTTGAGTTCACTGACAAGTCTGGGCATTGTTGATAGTGAATCCTAATTAAATGGGGTCCGTGGGGACGTGTAAGAGGACTGATGATGATCAACATTTCTATCAGTGATATGGGAATTGATATAGAATTGCTGTGGAGAGACATTTAGGATGAGCCATAGACTGACAGGATGGTAAATGAAATGAATGCTACAGATAGTCTTGTAGAGTGCTTTGGGTCTTTTCTTAACTTGAACTGATGCCAACGCAATGGGCTCTTAATGACCCAACTGCAGCGTTATGAATCTCAGTACTGAAAGCTCTGGCCTTATCTTCTGCATCAAGGCTGATGTTTAGAAAGAAGTGGCTGGGAGAGCAATTTTGGGGCCACAGTGGGCAGGTAATTTGACAAAGCTTCCTGGTGTCCTGCTTGACCCAATGGATGATGTGGGTGTAAAGAGAAGAGTGAGGTAGTCACTGGAATGGTTTGCTGCCTCTGTACCCAGCAGCATTCAGGAAAATGAAGCTCAGAGTAGTGGCTTTAGTGTTGAAAAACTGAGAAAAGGATGGAGATGGGAGCTACTGAAATGTCTTGGAAACTGAAGATGAAGCAAACTCCATCTGCTTAGCTTACTGAAAGGGGACTATTGTCAATTATTTTCTCAAAAGGAAATTTTGACATAGTAAGAGATGTGCATAATACAAATAAATGGCTACAAAATAAGTCCACATGGACTGAAATGAAATGTCTGAGTGTGTGTGGGGTTTTTTTGTGATTAACTATTGGAAGTTATCCAGGGAAGTGATAGATTCTCTATTTCTTGATGCCTTTTTTTTAAACCATGGATTTTTGTGACGTGTGTGTTATGCTTGGTGGGAGGAATCATTGGCAGTGTGAAATGGCAAGTGGAAGGAGCTGTGGTCTCCAGGAGGTTCGTGTAGCCCCTTGGGCTGTATGTACTATGAATGCTAGCTAGCACATCCATTCTTAATATTGCTGTTCAGGTTGAAGTGTGGGTGAACAAATCCTTCCAATCAGCAGCATGTTGGTACCTGTGTCTAGTTACTTTCATTTGTACTCCAAAGCCTTTAATCCATCCTGTGCCTGTTCTCGTGGTGAACTCTTTTAAAGTCTTAGGACTCTTCTCTGTTCCTGTGGCTGGGGCTCAATGTGAAGATGGAAGTTAATGCAGCACAAGTTAGCTGTCAGCTTGGAGTGAACTGGTAGCTCTCATGAGCAGGACAGTTCTGTGCAGTGAAGCTCTTGGAAGCCATCTCCGTTAAAGGTGAATCTGTGCTACAAAACACTGTGAGCAGGTCTGTGACAATGCTCAGAGCAACACATGCTGATGGGTTTGGCAGAGGGCTGGCAAAACTGGTGGAGGTTGTGGGACGGTCCTCTGTGAGTTGCTGAAATGAATCCTGGAAAGACCAGTGTGTCAGCCAAGGCGTGGTGGATATCTGCATACCTGATGCTCCAGGCTCATACAATTAGTTAAAGCTTGTTTGGGTCCCATGCACCCTATATGCTGGAGCAATGTTTTAATCATGTTGGAGAAACCTTTTGCCTGGATGCCATGAAATGATGGATATGGTAGAGAAGATGAAAACAAACCAAAGTATGTGTTGGCACATTGATCATTTGTTTTTATCCTGTGCCTTGTTAACCATTAATCCTGGGTACAAACCACTTACTGCCTTGCCCATATTAATACCAAAGTGGAATGCTGCCAGCATGTTCCATATCTGCTGCCAGACTTCTGCCTTTGAGGGGTCACTTGCATAGCAGTTGCCACCATTAGTGAGTAGTTCACAAAGTTAGCCCAAAGCTAGGAGTTTGTCCTGTCTCTTTTGAAGAAGAAAGAAAGAATTGTCATTGTGCAGTAACTGAACATTTGGACTTAAAAATAACCGTGCTCCCTTTCCAGCTCTGCTCCAAATACCCCATGTGCTGTGGCTGGCGTCGCATGTCTTACAAAGAGCTTGCTCTCAAAATGAGACTCCTGAGAGGCTTCTCTGAGGACTTGGTGCCATGGAGGGCAACTGTTCTGGCTGTGCTGGGACGCTGTCGTGGAGAGCGGGGAAGGAGACAGGGAGAGAGCAGGAGTGAGGTCTTGAGCAAGGTGACATTGAGGAGCAGGAACAGCTAGGTGGAAGACAAGCATCTGCTCTCCTTGAGTGGCACATGGGGAAGGAGGGAGGGAAATAGTGAAAAATGCATTGTAATGATGCTGTGGAAATCCTGCACAGGATAGAGCTGGGCCAGCATGAAGCTATTAATAAAACAGCAGTGTCTCTCTCTGTGCCAAGTACACCAATGGGTGGAACCATAAAAATGACATTGAGTTGGTTTAGAAATGAGCAAGTGCTGGCATGCTGCAGCTGCCCAGGAGCGAGGGATGGAAACCAGGCGGGAGGATAGGATGTGATGATTGCTTTTATGCATCTGCAGTTCAGAGGTGAACTACAAGAGGAGAAAGATGTATTGTTTTGCTAGTGATAAGCTCTGTTTTCAAAGTCATTTTTCTGCTTTCTTCCTGACAGAATGTGTGCCCCTAGATGGGAGTTTTGGTTTCTCACTGATGGTCTTGGTGGGTGTCTCCAGTGGATTTATGGGGTGTCACTGAAGAGGCAGTTAGCTGTCCCTAATACCCATGGGACAGTGGGTCGTGGATGGCAGCTGAGTCCCCTGGTCTTG